TCTAGCATGATGCCTAGAATACAGTGCTGCTCCAAGTTGTGTAATGAACAACATTTTGAGTCTGGTAGAGATGACTCCTTTGACTCTTGGGTCTTTGACTCTTGGTTCTTAAAATTAAACTTACTTTCTGTATGTTTATTTTAAATAAATATTAATGTGCAATTAAATTTATACCATACCTCACAAATACCATTAATATTTATCCTTTATTAAACAGCTTCTTAAAAAAAAAAAAAAAACAACTTCCCATAGGTTGTCACCAGCTAGAAGATAAAGTCTTAACTCCTTAGCTTGAAACTTAAGGCCTTCTGTGACCCAGCCCCTGATCAACCCTCCAGACATGTCTCACCGTATGTTCTTCCTTGGGAAAAGCAAAAAAAGATGGCAATTTAGTTAGTGCCCCAGACTTTGTGTTAAAACACCAGGTTCGAGTCTGAACTCATACTAAGCAGCAATGAAACTTTGGGAAAATCATTTAACTTCCTGTTTTCTCATTGTAAAACAGGAATAACCCTCTGTGCTCATTGCACAGGGTCAAATGACACAGTTGATGGCCGGGATCAAACAAACAATATTGCACATTTTGTGGGCAATAAAGCATTGTACAAAACAGGGGTCACTACACTGTGTCCCTGCCTCCAACCTTTGCTTGTTCATTTCTGCACCCTGAAGGCCTTATCCTTTCTTTCTCACCATTCACTTGTTTACTCACTCATACATTAATTAATCAAAAAATATATATTGAGGGCCTATTGTGTGCTGGCCCGAGGGATACAGAGGGTAAGAAAATCCAATCTGTTCTTTGCCCTCCTAGAACACAGGGTCTTGTGGGGGGAAATGGTTGCAAATCAAATAATCACACAAACAAAAGTAAAACTGTGGCTGTGACTCAAGCTCAGGAGTGGGTCAATAGGGCCCTCAGAAACTATAATGGCGGGAGGGAGGTCCAAGATTTAAGCTGCCTCTGAGGCCAAGTTCAAAGTATGCTTTCTCTAGGAAGTCTTTTCTAACAATGCTGCCCCAGATTGCTGCACACCGCCCCCCACCGTGCCCTCAACTTCTGTTAACTTAGCGAGCTCATTTCATGATACCCAGCCAGGCCCTGTTATTTTGTTTCCAAGTGAGTCTGGTTTTCCTGATTTCACTGTAAGTGCCTTCTGGGCAGAAAATGCCTGGCATACTCTTTCTTAAAACCCACAGCACCAAGCAGAAGACTGAGTCCACTGTGCTCCAGTTTCATGTGTCAGGGGATGTCATAGGAAGGAAGGGTACTCTTCCTGAAAGTGAACTCCAGGGGAGACAGGAAGCTGCCAAAGACCAGCTCCCTGTCCTTGCTTTCACAATTGAGCACATCAGCCCCATTCTTCAGGGGAGAAAAACTCTCTTCCCTAGGACAGCCAGTCTGCTCCCTAAAGTATGATCTTTCTCCAACAAAAATTTGATCCTCTCTCTCCCTAGCTAACAATCCTTTAGTGGCTCCTGAGTCTTCAGGATAAACCCCAAACTTCTCAGCATGGCTTCCCCATCCCTTCATGGTCTAACTCATGACTGCCTCTCCAGCCTTACGCTCTAAGCTCCAGTCACATCATTCTCACTGTAGTACCTCAAAAGTACCCTACTCTCAGGCAGCTGGACTTTCATACCTTCAGCCTAGAATGTCCATTCCAGTTTGTCTGCTTTCCCTATGAAAACTCTGCTCAATTGTCTTCTCCTTCAGGACCAGACCCCTTTCTCCAGGTTAAGAGTCCCCCCTCTAGGCTCCTTGTACATCTGGTGTTCCTCGCTCTCTTATGCATTGTTCTGTAACTGTCAGTCTGTGTACCTACCAACTCAAGTAATAAGCCCAGGGTGGGGACTGTGCTGTTCTATCCCTGATTCTCTAGTTCCTGCCATAGAGCCTGACATTTCATGAGTGCTGAAAGGTATTGAATATGTGAACCACAACCTGGCTCATGCCTTCTTAGGCCCATTAGAAGAAAGGGTATCTCTAATATGCTGGGAGTACAGCAAGGGCTTTGATCTGTGAGACATTATGAGAGCTTTTCTTTGATTATCACAGTAGTAATGCTGACTTCCTGGGAAGGGAAATAATAATTTATTAGGTATTGATTGTCCCAGACACTTTAGTTTTACATACATTGTCTCATTTACAGATGAGGACATGGAGGCTCAGGTTAAATGACTTGCCTAAGGTCATTCAATTAGCAAGGGCAGAGCCAGGATTTAGAACCCAGGGAGTCAGACCCTGAAGCCTGTTCTCTTAACCACTATATTCTACTGTCCCCAGTAACAACCGTGAAGGAACAATGGAAGTATCTACACTAGGAGTAAATTCCAGAATCTACAAAACTTCACGAGTACATCCCTCAGTCACTCTATGGGCTCGGCTGTACCTGACTACCTTCATATAATACTCCTGCCATAATGGGTAGCCAGCAGAGCTCGATGGGAGAATCCTGCTATTCCAGTGTGATGAGGTGCTCAAAAAGCTGAGAATGTTTACGTTGGGGAAAAAATAAAAGAAGTTTAGGGAACCATATATTAATTGTAGAATATGTAACAACTATTTAGAAGGACATAGGATTATATGTTTTTACATAACCCCATTGTGCAGGACTCGGCCAACTTTCCAATGACAGTTGTCTGAAAGTGGAAGGCTATCTCTTATGGCAGAGGAGGGAGGAATAAATATAAGAATTCTTGGAACCCCAAGAAAGAATCCATAGACACAATTTAGGAAACTCTTATGTTGCAGTGCTTTGGGTGATCATTCTGTACCAATGTGACTGTAAACTTAAAGTAAACTCAGGCACCAAATTCACATGTGGCGATATTCAGTTATCAAGTGGTCATTTTTAAAAAGTGTCACATAATCGCTTCTCAGCCTTTTGGCTAAGATCAAGTATAAAAAGTGTCACATAAATTCAATTTCTTTGTAAAAACACAAAATTTAAATTTTATTATAGAGAAATCATGGATCTTACAAAATCTAAGTGAGGATTCTGAAATTAAAATCCTAAGACAGAAGAATCTTTCAGTTCCTCTCTAACTCTAAATTCTCAGAGTTGCTAGATTCCAGAACTTTGGACTTGTACTTGCATCCTGAATTTGGTCATGACAGTCAAATTGCCTGCCTATTTCCCAGAAAAGGGTCTAAACAAAAGCTGCACAGTTTGAAGTAAAATGCAAGGCAGAATGTCTTACTTACGCTTTGAACTGCAAAAAAATGTGGGGTCCACAGAAACCAGCACCTTCATTCCCTAAAGCATGTCTCATTAGACCTTCATTTAACCTCTGTGTATCCGTGAGAAAAGAAAATACAGGTTGGAAATTAGAATACCAGATGTGGGTTCTGGTTCTGTAACTAGGTATCATTGTGATTTTTTTACAAGCACAATTTTCTTCAAGTCCCCTTCCCAATCTACTTCACAAAGTGACACAAGCTACAACAGGTAAAATATTTAGAAGAGTTAAATCCATGTAACACATGTAAAGCTTTATTATTATTTCTGACTTTCTCCTTTCACTGGCAGGCGCATATAAGGCATTGTGCTGACTGCAGTCTGGCCCTGGAGAGGAGTATAGGTGATAGCTCTCAGTCTGAGCTGGTGTCTTTGACTGGTTTCCAAAGTCAAATATAAATGATTGAGTGCATTTGTTGATTTGGACAATATTTACTCCGCTCTCAGTTTTTCTTGATAGAAAAACTAAGAGTTGACTACAGTTAACTCTGTTTTACTTGGTTTATTTCCCTAAATCAGAGGGGAACTGTTTCTTCCCATGTTGAGAGTCTCCCAAAGGCTAAGATCATTTCCCTTTTTGGCCAACTAGCTCTCTGATGTAAGGAACTTGTCCTTCCCTCACCACCCACCACAACCCAACCTGAATGGGCAATCTCTCCAAATGGAAACCATGTTTTTGGATTCTCTTCTCAAAACTCAGGTGTGATTATTCAATCACAGGGGTGAGATCCAAGGTATTAAAGCATTTAGTCAAGGCGAAAATAGATTAAGATGTTAAAATTACCTTCGATAACTGATTTCCTTGGGTAGATGTATCAGACAATGAGACTTTCGCAGTGGTAAAGGATTCAGAGGGCCTGAGGGCAGGCAGATTCAGACTTGTATATTGATTTTGCCACTTATTAGCTATGTGACTGCGCAATTTACCAACCAATCTGGGCCACATTTCTTCGTCCGTAAAAAACGGGAATAGCGCCCACATTCTAGACTTGTTGAGAGGATTAAATGAGATGCTCGAAAAGCCTTACCACAGAGCCTGGTATATAAGTGCTCGATAAAGAGTAATTGTTTGGGCTACTGTGGAGAATGAAAGGCATACTGTGTGTGGAAGAGCTTCGTGGAGGCGGGTACCTGCAAGCCCATAAGCGGAAAGGCCTAACGGAGCAGTCAAATCTTCTGGCTCAGAATCAGTGCTTCTCACAGCACAATCCCAACCACAGGGGCCGCCGAGTCCCAAGTGATGAAAGAAGGCCAGGCGTCAACCTGACTTCTTGAAGGAATGCCCCTCTAACAAGGTCCGACGTATTCGGGATCCCGGTGGCTCGCACCCGCGGGCCTCAAGCTCTACTTACCCAGGAATGGTAACGGTCCTTAACGGCAGCCAATAACGGCTCTCCTGTGGCCCAAGCACTAGCAAGGGCAGGCTGAGGTCAAACCTTGGATTTTGTAGCCTCCACACCCAAAACCCTAAACTTGCATCGAACTACAATTCCCAGCATGCCACGCGGTCCGCCGGGTCGAGAAGCGTCAGCCCCGCCAACTTTGAGCCCGTTTTCGCTCAAAACGCGGCCGAACGCTCGGGGCTTGGGAGTAGTGCCGGCCCCCAACCTAAGACAGCCTCCCCTCATGATTTCTGGGTATTGTAGTCCACCTTGTTCCGGTTTCCCAGGAATGAGCCGCGCCTAGTTACGGCTCCCTTCGCCATAAAAACTACAAAACCCAGAATATAGCGCAAGTTCTCCTCGTCCAATAGGAACCCCCCCATGTAACGAGGCGCGGAGGCCGGCTCTTGTAACTCAAGATGGCGGACGAGAGTGAGACAGCAGTGAAGTCGCCGGCACCTCCGCGGCCGCACATGATGGAAGGGAACGGAAACGGCCATGAGCACTGCAGCGATTGCGAGAACGAGGAGGACAACAGCTACAACCGGGGGTAACAAGATCCTCGGAGTCCAATTCCCATCCAGTCTCCTACAACCTGGGTCTCTGGGGTGCGGGGAAGTCACCGGGAGCTTAGCGTAACCCCACCCCCAAATTCTTATTGGCTGAGATGTTGGAGTCCTGCCTGGCGATTGGTTGCTGTCTTTGTCATTTACCGGGGTGGGTGCTCAGTATATTAAGAGCCGGAGACATTCAGTACTTTTATTATAAAGTTCTTCTGTGTAACGTTCCACACTCGTGTGCTTCAGGCGCTTCCGGGGGGAAGAGCTTGTTGGACAATGGTTTTCGATGGCACAACACGGCCAATATAACACTAAAGTTCAAAGGGGACGTTGTTAGTGGTGTTGTATGAACAACGTGATTAGCAATAAACGAATGATAAAACATTTCGCTTCAATGAGGAAATTCACCAGGCTATACAAACCATAATTATGTTGTAAAATGTCACTACCAGAGAATCTCAAAATATAAACACCTTATAAACCCTACGTAATTACTGTATAATGTTTTGATGTATATGGTGTCCATTGCTCCAAATAATCCATACGTTTCCTGAACAATATATAATTAGGTCTTCCAGCATCTTTGCTCTGTTAACTTTGCGAGAAGTAGCCTCAAGCTTCAAGATGTTGAGTGATGGTCCTTCTTGGTCAGTGTTTGGAGGTGGGTTTAATATTGCATGCCCTGTACTTTCGGATCTTGCTTACTAGTAAGTATTGTTCCTCGGGCAGAGGAAATGCATTAGGCATTTGAATGTTGAGTTCTATTTCCAAATGAGTTTTCATTCTTGTAAGCCTGTCATTCCTCTTTCTTCATAGTGTTACAGTGGCTGACACTCACTCTCCCTATCTGTATCTGTAAAGGAAAGTCATGAGAGTCAGTTTTGGATATATAACTTTGACCAAGCCTGTGATCTGATTTTTTATAGTCATCTTGTCATTTGCAGTATTGATGGTAGTCCTGGAGATAAAGGTAAAAGGTTCGAAGTCTTTGGATAAACTTTAAAATAAATTCTGCTACCTCATAGAGATGGGAGAGTATAGGATTATTTAAATGGTTTGTAATGTGCCTGTGATGAATCTTTACGTTAAAAGACTTGGCTTTTATGTTCTTCAATCAGCATTGAAAATGACAAGAAATATAAAGGAAAAGGAAGCTTGTCAGATCTGGGTGTATAAAATTGTGTTCTTTTGCCATAACTCACAACAGATCTAATGTAATGAAAGCCTTATTTTGACGACGTTTGAGATTCCAAAAAATGAAAGCACTGAGAAAGAGGAAACAGGAGAAACAGGAAGAAGGGAAAGTGCAGCCCTACTGAGTAGAGATCTCAATCATAGATGAGAGTTGTTGAATTAGAAGTCATTTCAGAAGTGAAAGTATAGCTGCTTCTTTGCTCTCTGTGTAGTTACTTTTCTTTTTCTTTGCTAAACTGTTGCCCTGACCAGAGTCTATAGGTCTTTAATTGGTATTGTTCCCTATAATCTGTGAATCATGTTGCAAAACTGCTTGGCAGAAAGTTCTATGTTTCATTTATAGTACAACAAAATGGTAACTTAAAAAAAAAAAAAACTTTGATTTTTTTTTTTTTTTGGTGGTTGTTGTTTTTGTTCATGGTTATGGTCCAGGTATACAGATTAAGTTTGTTAGCATCCTGAATCTAGAGGTCTTTATAATAAATAAATTAGTAGATGGCTGGTGAAAAACGGAGAACCCAGCCTGGGGGGCAGAGTCTAGTTCTGGTATTTTGATTCTGAGGTAGAGTCAACATTTTAGCATTAATTGTCAGAGGAAATGGATTTGGGCAGAATCTGTATGGCACAGTGAGAAAAGCATAGACTCTGGAGTTATTCAAGCCTGGGTTCAAAGCCTGGTTCTGACGCTTTATATTGTCTTGTGACACTGGGAAAGTTACTTTATCTCCAGTTGTAGGGATTAAATAAGATGACATCTGGAGTTCTGTCTTCTTCTTCGCTCCTTACTTCAAATCTTCTATGTCCTCCTTCCCCCAGTTTGCCTCCCTGCCCTTATCATATACCATGTTTTTTGTAGCTTTTATCATAACAGTAGTTAAATGACCTGTGTCCATTCCCTGCCTCACGTGACTGTAAGGTAAGGTGCCTGAGAACAGGGTTCATGTCTTTTGAGATGCCTCACACTTAGCATTAATGAATATTTGCTGCATGAGTGAATGATTAAAGTTCTTAGCCCAATGTTAGTGGAGTTTCATTTCTCTTCACTGAGAGGAAGGATGTCAGATTTTTCTTAAATATATATTTTCTTTCCCCCAAATAAGTCTCATTGTAAGCTTTGCTATAGTTTTTGTGAAATACGTACAGAAATCAAGGATCCTCCAATTTTCTGTGGAAGCTTTCCACTGCTTTTTGGCTTATTGAAAATTTTCTTGTCTTTACTTATATTTAGAATGTTTTTGAAGTTATATAAGGGGAATTGTTCCTTTTAATGATAATGATTCTAAAGTATGATATGCAATTAGTTTATGATAGTTCAAACTAACCCTTCTTTTCTCAGACCTTTCTTTCAAGATGGGCTCACAGTGCTCTTTACACTAATGAAATGAGCTACATTCATGCACTGGAACCATAGGAAGTACAGTTCTGCTAGTTTCTTAAGTTTCTTTGTGTATAAGTTTAGTTCTTGACTTGTCATGTGTTTCTTCCATAATTAAACATTTGGTGAGTACAAATTTTATATGTGCATATAAACACGTGTACATGCATACGTATGTAGTATATGTATCTATGTGTGTGTATATATATGTGTTTTTCTATCAGCTATTCTTTTTTTTTAAATATCTACTGAACAGAGGAAAGGAAGGCAGCATTTTTACCCCAGTTACTTGCCTGACATAAGTTACCCTGAGCAATTGAGAGGAGAGTCACACTAAGGTATCTTTATGCTGCATCCTTTTGCAGTTCATAATTCATCAATATGGTTTAATCTGCTTGTTTTTAGTGAAAGGCTTTCCCCAGAAATATCACTACAGAAGAAACCTTATTAGCTGGCTGATTTGAATTTTGAGATACCAAGCAAGTAAAGTTTACCTGGGTGTTCTAGAACAGGAAAAAAATTTAACTTTTGTTCCTAGGATTCTTTCGGAATTTATTTTGCAATGTCATCGATACCACTGAGATGCTGGTAAGCCGTTAGTCAAGACCCTTTTGATAAGGAATGTCTCTTTTCTGCCCTGTTTTCTTACTCTGGGGACAGGTTAAGATGGGTTCCTATAAGTTTTCCTCTCTTCTTAATCATGAGATATTATCGCTTATGAAAAAACTTAAAAGAAAGGTCTTTTTGAAAGGAATTCCATAGGCTCTCCTTACTTGCTTTTGTGTTCTTCACATTCTCCAAGAATGGTTCTTTCCATATTTACTTGGTGGTTTATAGCTGCATCTAGCTCTTGGAAAGAAGAAATCTTTTTAGTTCTTAATTTCTCCCTTCAGCTTTTGGTTTTTCAAAACTAGATCAAAGCAGAAATGAAAAGAGAAACCTCATCACTGATATCAAATAAGTATTCTAATTTTATTTCCCAATTAAGTGGCAATTAAAAAGAAACTAATCAAGAGCTGCTTCAAAGAGAAGAGACTGGAAAGCAGAAGAAATGAAAAGTAAATGAGAGCCTATTTCAGGGAGACTGCTGCTCATGGCAAACCAGTTTTGCTGATTTTTCACATTGTTTAATGTGCTCACTCAAAGATTTTCCAGCTTTATTAAGTCTACAGTTAACTCTTTCGCTGTGGAGTTTGTAGATTTTGGGACCATAGATTTTGTAGATTTCATAACTTTAGGATGATGCTTCTTGAATGCTCCCTCTCTAACCTTTTATTTGAAATCTCTACCCTACAAGCCTCTCTTCTAGTTCCTCGAGGAAGGTACTCTTTGGATTGTTGCAGTTAAGGCACACAAAACATGGTGTTTTCAATTGAGAGCACCAAAAAAAAAAAAAAAAAAAAAAAGGAAAGAAAGGAAGGAAGGAAGAAACTAAAATTCTTTGACAGGATCAGTCCTTGCTTCAAAAATTTTTCTACTGCTGTTAACTTTGAGAGGCAGCTGAGGAGGATTCACTGTTAAGTGTTCAGTAAATGTTATCTCTGGCTGTTACAATGTGTTGGGCACTGTGCTAAGCCCTTTGCATGGATTATCTCAGCTTGACTTCACTTGTAACTGATTTAGCTTTTGTAATGAGGCTTGGGATTTGCATCTCCACCTCTCCTTTTGACACCCTGAAGGACACATTCTAAACTTACTGGATTTTTCTTTTCCCTACTGCATTGACTTCTACATCCTGACTCTCTGGGAGTGTGAGTCCAGTTTTTGGATTCATTTAGTAACCCATGGCCTTTCCCTAACTAGAAATCCAGTTGGTGATGGAGGTGACTGGCCTTTTTAAACTCTCCTTGATAGACCAGTATCTTTCTAGAGGTCATTCTAGTGTGTGAAATTGCTGCCAGCATTGAGTCATTCATTGCTCAGAAAATTGCCGAAAATGGTCTCTGAACAGCATTTGATTTGACTTTGGAGTTGTTAGGTTAAAGTCTAGCCCACCAAACCAACCTAGAGGATGTGGAATTTACACCTCTGTCTCATTCCCATTTCAAACTATTGAGTATGTCAGAGCTTTTATGACCCCTAAAAAACCCGTTTTCCTCCATGACAGGAATTGGCTTGTTCACTCTCAAAACTGGCTGACTATCTCAGGGAGGGCAGAGGGTAAACGTAAAAGCAATCTTTTGTAATTCCTTCCCACAACCTGCTGTCCTTTTTACAGGCCTCCTACAGTATCTTTTTGTTCTTACTAAAGTGTTTTCATTTTTTCTGTCATTTAGGATTTGCAAGCAGTTTTTTATGTAAATAACTGATTGGTGGAAATTTGCAGTTTGGGGTATTGCATTAAGTGATCCTGCAGGCACAGCAGTACAGAGGATAGGCAGCTAATGCTGATTCATGCCATGTGGTCTCTACCTGGGCTCCCATGTAAATGCCATGTCATTCACCCCTCTTTGGGCCTTCTGAGTACTAATAAGATTGCTGGTGAATGTTTCATAAATCATGAGTAAATTGATCTGCACAAGGATTTTTTTATGTCTAAAAGTGAAATCAAAAGGATATTATAGACTAGGATTTATTTACTAAGTTTCCCTGGAAATTTTGAATTTTAGCCCAAAGAATTAACTTTCAGTTTTTAGAGGTGGAAAACAAGTGACCAAAAGTTGTAAATTTTATTTTCTGAACTCTTTCTTTCTGTTGATTTTATAATCAAAACTAAACCTGTAGTCTGTGTTTAAGACATGGGAATCATTTGTAGTTATACTGGAGCTTTTTGTTGTTGTCACTCTTAAAGGAATAGGTCCTAAGGAGGGAGAAGACAACAAATAATAAAGTTGGTAATTTAAAATCTTAATCAGTGGCCTTAAGGAGCACAGCATGTGCTCTGCGTGCATAGACTATTAGCACAGCTGTCCTATGGAAATATTACTGAAGATATTTTCTGACCCTCTAGCTTTTCGGAGTTTTATTTTAGTCTATTATGCCTGGGAAGCATTAGTCAAGCACATATTTGTTGAACTCTTCACTGTGTGCTGTGGGAAACAGCTGTTTAAGATGTGGTCCCTATACGTAGGAAATTTTTAATGTCATTGGGAAGCCAGGAAGCAGCACATTATTATATATAAAGCATTACATTGTTTGAGAGATCGTAATTTTAGACATCAAGGAGAGCTAGAATGGGCAGAGGAGGGAGGCTTTCTGGATAGAACATGGCTAACTCTCCTCATTGCCTTTAACACCTGCTCCTCTGATACAGAAAAATTTATTTTAAGGCCCAGTGTGATCAAACTGTTCTTTTTGGCTTTAGAGATTCTCGGGTAAATTCTCAACAGGGAATGAGACTCTGGTGTTGGGGGAGGAATCGGCTAAGTCTTTGGAGATTGGTGGCTTGTCACAGGGTACTTGTTGGTTAGTTGATGAACCACCTTGCCTGGGCCTTGGTTTCTGCTTCTGTGAACAACAGGTTAAGCCAGCTAGCCCAGAGATTCCTTCCAGCTCTGGTTGTTTAGCGCGCACAATAACAGCTTTCTGTTCCTCAGCCACACGCCGTTGAGTGAATTCTGTCACCCAGTGGAACTGAGGGGAGGCCCACATACAGACCCTCACCGGCGGCTCATGTCATCTGGAAGTTTGCTGCTCCCGTTGCTCATCTCTCAGCTCGCCCTTTCCTCCCGCCCACCCATGTTCTCTGACTCTGCATTCTGTTTCTAGATATAAGTCCTGGGGTTCATTTTTCATCTCCTCCCCCTGCCCTGACTTTCTAACAGAGCATCCATAAGATTTCTTACACGTTTGAAATTAGAATATTTTGGCCTTTGTGAAAAAAATGACATTTCTTGATTGCTTTTCTTTCCTGTTTCTGGGTCTATCATTCTGTTAATTCATCCCATATTTGCTAGGTTATTCATTAATGACTTGGGTCGATCAACTTTACTTTAGAATATAAAATTCAATTTTTTTATGTGAACTCCCATTCCATTGCAGGCACACACCGCACCCCCCTCCCAAGAAAGAAGGCAAATTTCTCTAATTCTCTGTTCATTATTTTGGCATGAAATGAACCAGAGTTAGACTTTGGCTTGCAGTATTCCAAGGTTCTGGCCGGTCTCTTTGGAGTATATGATGGTGACTGGCAGGCTTAGAGAACTTAAGAGATTTCTCTTTGAATTTGCAGAATCCCAGCACGACGGGGACCCCTACCCAGTGGGTATGGACTTCAGGTCCCTTTCAAAACAGTGCTAAAGTCTTAGAGAAAGACTAGCCCTGGCTTCTGTGGGGTCCTCTGGTTTGGTTCTCCCCAAATCTAAATGGAGGCCATTCTTGAGTGAAATAGTATTGGCTTCCTAGGATGCTTCTTGAAGACCTACTCTCAAGGCCTCTGAACTTGCTTCTTATGAACAGTCGTAATCACCTGGAAAGCTGCCCCTAGTGGGTGGGCTCCTTGGAAGTCTCTTCTCTGAGTCAGTTGTCTTCCTGTTTGGGGTGTTGACTTATAATACCGTGGAGAGCTGATAATGTCTTCTCTTGGATGTGGCTCAGTACCTGGTAGCTCAGTAAAAATGACTTTTTTAAGCTCCCCTTTGTTCTTCAGCTGTCTCTGTATGCTTGATGTACAAGTTGAAACAGGATTGTTGCTCAGTAGCTACATGTGCAAATTCAAGCCGATACAAGGAAAATGAAATTAGCTCTGTGGTTTTAGTTTGCGTCTTGGAGTTTGCCAGGCACTTGTATTAATCATAAAACAGAACAAAAGTTCAGCCCAAAGTCCTTCTATAAAAAAGGAGTCCTTGAGGAGAAGGCTACACAGAAGTGTCTCTACTGAGTAGTGAGAGCAAAGGCAGGAAGGTAGTTTTTTAGTGATTTTGCATACTTGTAAAGATGTCTAAAGTAGGAGGAAGTAATTTCTTCTGTTTTCTTTAGGTGAAATTATATTTAGTAAGTAACCAATTGGTTACTATGTAGCAATTCTTTACCATGGCTTAAAAAATTTTTTTTTCTATAGAATTGTATAAACAATTCTTATGGTAATTCATATACAGGGACCAGAGAATTCATTCCATAAGCTGAAATGAATAAGGATTTATAAATTGTATCAACAGCGGAGCACTGGTTGTCTCCTAACATCGCTAGTTTTTAAACCTTATGATGCTGCGTATAATCCTCAGACTGGAGTGAGACTATCTCTAGAATAAGAAACCCACATAGAGTTGTCATAGGCTGCAAACGGGCCTGCACGTGATAACAAAATTGAGTTATTAAGAGAAAAAAAATTATCTTCTGGCCATAAATGACTTTATGGTTCCAGTTCTTTGCCATGGCCTTGGCGGTTTTGCTGAGCATCGGTTTTAAGGCGTTTACCTTATTAGCGGTCATCTTTCCATATTATGCCTTCCGTGTCTCATTAATATAATACCTAGGGGGTGCACTTGTGTCTGGACTTCATGACCTTACGTTTGGACTAAAGTGACCTCCAGCCTTGACTGGACCTCCCTGACTTCACAGTCTCTGCGTGAGGAACCTGATGAGAGGCCTAGCCAGATGGGTGCAGGCACAGCTGGATGGGTGAGCTAGATGGGAACTGAGTGTCATGGGCCTAGGGAAAAGTCGGGTTTGATCTCTTCCAGGCTAAGAAGCTGCTGTCACTTTCAGGCATGGAAGGGACATGAAGAAAGTCATTTTCACAGAGGTGAGTCCCATAGCTGTATAGAGTTCAAGATGTTGCAGAAAGATTGTGAAGTCAGGAAGATCCAGTACAGGCTAGAGGTAACTTTAGTCCATGTGTAAGGTCACGAAGTCTGGATGTGAATGCTCCTACCCGGACCAGGAAGAGATTAGTCTGAAGATATTCTACAGCAGGAAATGGCAGCATGTGGTTACAGATTGCCTCCTCCCAACACATACCACTTGCTATGAGAGAATTGATATTCATAATAACCCCAACACGTGTAAGACCCTGAAGGCTTTCTGAATTATAAAATAAAGCTTAAATGATATTTGCCATAATGGTATGGAAAATGCATTTGACTGTTTTATTCTTTGAAAATTGATTATCTAGAATATACAGGTAAAACAATACGCTGAGTTTAGCTGATCCTGCAGATTAGGGTTTACTGTACTCTCAGATTGGACTCCTAATTTTGACTTTTTAATGGAAGAATTCCAGGGAGTATAGCAGAGTGATATCAGAAATTGCTCCCAGACTGACAATGCCAGTATCAATTTAGACATGGCAGAAACCAACAACAACAATAATTATGAAAGCAGGCTACAAGATGAACCTTAAAATTCATCATTAAAATGAAGGAAACCCGGAATCAAATTATTATCCTAAAATCAACAAGAATTGGGGGGAAACATTTGGGAGCTAATGAATGGAAAATGTCAAACCCAGTATAATATATGATATGTGTCTCAATAAAGATATTGAGAGACAATACAGAAAATGATGAGAGATTGTAGAAATGTGGCTAAGAAACTTTTTGCTGCATTCATTGGGTGTGTCATGCAGAGGAAAAGCAGCTTGTGGAAGTCCCTATTACCATATTCACACACACACACACACACACACACACACACACGTTTCGTGTAATCTCTTAGTGTCAGGAGTGGCTGGATGTTTCACTGTTGTGCTGGGTTTTGCCTGTGTTGATCACCCAGTCTGAGCCTACGACAGCAGTCCTCGATCCTGCAGGACTGATTTTGGCATTTCTCCTGATTGACTATTTTGGATATAGAGCACAGCAACTTTAAACTGCCTTTTTTCCACCTTCCTTCTTCCCTTTCCAATACTGCTTTGTGCTTTAGAGTCAGCTGGAGAAACTCATTAAAACCTAATAATGCATTGGGAGGGTGGGAGTGGGGTGAGGAAGGGTTGCCATAAAGACCATTTTGGGTTGTCATCCTTTTAAATTCAGGATGCTAAGCATGTATTGGTGGTATGAATGCCCTGTTAATAATTATCATTTGCCTTTGGTGCCAGGAACCTGGCAATCTAAAGAAAATAACACATAAAATAAAAGCAAGAATAGAAAAGTTCCTTTCAAACAAGTAGGGCATTCCTTGTCCAGTGCTCCCTTCCTGGGAGCTGGTGGGAGTTGGGAGAGCTGTGTTTTCTGGTGTCTTCTAAATGCCCCTTCTGGGAACCTGGATTCTCTAGTCTGCTTCTGAAGCCAACAGGCTTGATTAAGGGAAGGTCTGGCTCTACAGAAAGCTCTTTGTCCGTGTAGCCCAAAACAGATGATTTTTTAAAAACCCTGCATCAGTATTTACTTGTCTTACAGTGGTTTGAGTCCAGCCAATGACACTGGAGCCAAAAAGAAGAAAAAGAAACAAAAAAAGAAGAAAGAGAAAGGCAGCGAGACAGATTCAGCCCAGGATCAGCCTGTGAAGGTAACAAGGAGGCTCTGTTTTCTTGTGACCAAGAGTCACTTTTTCAGAAGACAGAGTTTCGGGGTAAATGTATAGGAACAATTTAGATTAACAGTCTCCACTGCTGTTACTTCAAGATGGAGGAGTTGGATCCCTGGGCTGCCCTCCGCTGCCCTAGACTAGATGAATCTGCTATCAAGCCGTAAAAGACACAGCTGGTTAGACATTGGTGTCCCCTCAGAGTGCACAGGTACATAATTACGTGCGATGCTGTGCGAGGTGCTGGATACTACGTTGTGCTAGCCACTGTCGCCTAGAGCAGCGGTTCTCAGCCTTTTCTATCTTAAGTCTCCACCACTGTGGGAATATAAGCCCTGTCCTTTTTAAGGCAGACCTTTATATATTGCAAACATTCTCTTAATGCCGCAGTCATTGAAATGAAAACTCTGAGTCCCAGAGTCAATTTCTGAGTTCCACTAGTTGAGAACTACTGGCCTAGAGCTTAGGACCTGGGACTGACACACTGACATGAAACCCGGAGTGTGGGTAAGGTTGGTTTTGTTTCGTAAATAAAACAACATTTTAAAAAAAGAAAAACCTTTTATTTCAGTAAAGTGCTATCCTCTTTAAAGTAGGCCCTGGGGAAGCTCAAAACATATCCATAATTCCTCTTTTAGAATTGCCTCCAAAACAGCTTATAAGCCTCGCAGAAATCCGGTCTCAGTCTACCCATACTTTGCTGTATCCTTCAAATGGTATGCTCCGACTCAAATCTATCATATTGAGAAATGGCTTCAAGTAATGTTTTAGTATTTTCAATATCAAGCTCACTATTAAAAAAAAACCCATCGTTATTGACCACCATGTTGGCTAGGTTCTCACTAGGCACTTCATTTAAATTAACCCCAAACCTTCTACATCCTTTCAGGGTAGGTAGGGGTCTTCCCATTTTAAAGATGAGAGAGTTGGCTTACTTTAGTCTTTCAATCAGGAATTCCAGCCCAAGCTCATGCTTTGGCTTTGAGGATTTTTGTTTGTTTGTCTGGGGGTGAGTATTTGAGCTCAAGCCTATATCAAAATGGTTCAGTCCGAAATTAGAAAATTTTAACAAAATACCATTTACATAGCCCTTCCATTTTCTTCTATGAGAGTGGTGCTGTTTATTGAAGAGAATTTAGAAAAAACCAGCAAGAGGAAGAAAACTAAAACTAGAATCACTTATAGTCCTACCTCCCAGGAATAAGCAATGTAAACATATTGATTTATAGTCTTCCTTTCCTTTACAATCTAAATGAAGGAAAAACATAGTAAAGTAGAAGAAATTATGGTTATTTTTATAATCATAAGCCTGACATAAGACCCAGAAGCCATAAAGAAAAATTGACAAATTCGAATTTCTCTGTAAAAGTCAAAACAAATAATAAACTGAGAAAATATTTGTAATATGTGAATCAGTCCATTTAAAATAATGAAATGAGTAGGCAGTTTACAAAGAAAAAATATAAATGTTCAATCAGTGTATGAAAAGATGGTTAAACTCAATGAAAGAAATGAAAATGAGAGCAATATGTATATTTTTTTCTCCTAAATTGGCAGATATTAAGATTTGGTAAATCGAATGATGAGAGTGGAGAAACGCATGCTCTCATGCATTCTTCATTGGGTTATTAACTGATACTCTTTAGAGAGCAAGTTGACAGTATACATTATAATTTGAAATGTGCATATCCTTTGACTCAGGAAGCCTCCTTTCTCAGACTTTATCCTGCAAAAATACATATCCCAGTAAACAAAAATAGATGTACAAGAAAGTTCATTATAGCATTGTTTGTAACACTGAAGAACAAAACCACCAAAATGCACATTGGTAGGGGGTTGTCTAAATTCACTGTGATCCATACACACAGTGGACTCAGTTGTTAGAATGGGCAAGTCTCTTCAGCCACATAGAAAGATCTTTAAGACATAGCGTTTAAAGAAGAGCAGTTTGTGGAATAATACTATACGATCCAATTTTAGTTTTTGAAATTGTGTGTGTTTGGAACTTGCATGTAAAAAAGTCTGAAATTATATTTGCCTCTTCTCAGTCTACCTCCCAAATTATGATTGTTGCTGACAAGGATGGTATTTGAGGGATGGGATTGTTGGATTTTTACTTTCTATACATATTATACATTTCTGCACTGTTTGGAATTTTACACTGAGCATGTATTACTTTTACCATCGAACATCACAAAAACGGGGAGAAATCCTGTAGGAAGTACCCACCCACCAGATTGCTCATCATCAATAACTTTTTCCAGTTGTCATATGATATGTAACCTCTGGGATTAGGGCAGGAACCACACCCCTTCTTTGAGTTGTACCTTTAACTCTTGAACCTGCAATTAATCAAAAGTGCTTATTAACATAATGGGCCTTTTCTCTCCCTAACTTTGTCTCATTCAGATGAACTCTTTGCCAGCAGAGAGGATCCAGGAAATACAGAAGGCCATTGAACTATTTTCAGTGGGTCAGGGACCTGCCAAAACAATGGAGGAGGCTAGCAAGCGAAGCTACCAGTTCTGGGACACACAGCCCGTCCCCAAACTGGGTATGTATATGCTTTCTTCCTCAGGCAAGGGCAGGGAAGGCAAGGGGCGTATGTGCCTTAGCCATGCTAAGGGTTCCACACTGAATTTGTGGGAGAGAGCAATACGTCCCGGAGTTCCTCGGTGGTTATTTTGAGAGGATAGTCTTTAAAATGCAGTACAGAAAAGATTATTGTTCAGGGACTTCATCATTGCACCGTAACACACACTGAGAATAAATAATGGTTCTTCAAAGTTCATCATCATCCAGTATGAATCTACAAAGAAAAACAGTGCACTGGCACTTGATGAGTGGGGATGTCTGCCCGTGAGTCTGGCTTCCCACATAGATTTTTATAGAGAGACTGCCTTGTTTATCTGGGCAAATGCATAATCCTGGAATGGGCCAAGTCCCCAGCCTCTTCCCCTTGTCTCTTGCCAGTGCACGCTTACTAAATGCGAAATAATTTGACATTTTGCTTAACAGTGATGGTTCAGCATCTGGAATACCATATGCAGGTTTGGCTGGCACCCCTTAAAAAAACTACAATGAATTCTTAAAGGGTGGGACAGGCAGAAAATCCGAAAGAGTTCCAGAAGAGACTAGATATAGCAGAGTTAGAGATGCCTGCTGAGAACAAGCCACAGCTAACCTTGATGGCTAACTTAAGAGAGTTGCTGTTGACAAAAAGTTTCTGGAGCAGTTGCATCGTGATTCTGGGCTCATTGATAGCCCAACTCCTATTTTCTTTGTGACTGGGAAAGTGAGTATGTTGAAGAAAATATGTTCCAACACCAAATGTCAGTGACCTTCAGGTTGTTCGTGTTACTGCTCCCCTCCAGAACACAGTTCGGCTTGACAGTGTGTTTGGTGCAGAGGAGGAGGGCAGGGCAGGGCCAAGGACTGGTGAGGGAAGAGGGACAGCTGTGCCCAAGGAGATTCGTCTGCTCCAGGGGTAGGGAGTATGTAGTACAGAGCCAAACAGCTTGAAGTGTTGTTCTCCGACCAGCAGAATGGGCCTCGCTTAAGAGCTTGTAGAATTGCAGCATCTCAGGCCCCACTTCAGACCTGCGGAATCAGAACTTTCAGGGGATTTGTGTCCACTTCGAAAGTTTCAGAAGCTCTGCTCTGGAACAGATGTAGTTCCTGGATAACTTAGTCACAATCCAGAAGTAAGCTGAGGTGTGCCCCTACGGTGGATAGAAAGCAAAGCACTGCCTAGACAGTTGTGAGTCATGAAACGGCAGGCCGGCACTATTCCAGAACACTGTCCCAACCCATCCACCTTGTCTGTCGGGCTGTCCGGGTCACCCAGGTCCCAAGCTCACATGGCTAAACACTCCAGGGAGGCTTTGGGTCACATCCTCTTCCAAGGGCATTCCTAGTAACCAGTCCCAGTGACCACTCTCCCCCACCTCCCACTCTGCCCCCGCCACAGCCACACACAACTCTGAGAACAGGAAGAACTCAGAGAGCCACATATTCTGCCTCTGAATGAAATGCCCAGAGAGGCATTTTGTGGTGACTGTCAGAGGTCGTGGTCCAGTCAGATGGGTTTTTGGGGTTTTGGTTTGATTTTATTTTTTTATTAGGGATTTGCAAATGGGTAACTTAGCTCCATTCTTCATAGACAGTGGGAACCTGGGGATGAGGTGAATTAGGCAATGGGCTTCTGTTCCTCTTCAGTCCAATTATTCTTTGTTATTTGCCTCAATTTCTCTACCTGTAAGTATAGAAAGCGCTGCAGTTTTATTTTCAGAAGCTCCTGAGAAAGCCACACAGGTGCTCGCAGGAGCCCTGATGTGCTCAGAAGGCGCAGCAAGACTCAGTGCTGTTTCTTCTGGACGTGGCTTCTATGCAGTGTGTGGTGTGAGGCTCTTTGGAAGAGTGGTCTCTGAGCATCTGACCAGTCTGCCTTTCAGGTCCACGGCCAGTCAAGTCCAAGTGAAGGATTCTTTTGTTTCTGAGAGTCAGCCCATAGAAAGTACCACATTACAGGCATCAGCTCGTCCACGTGCCTGAGGCGCCACCCTCATTCTATGTCGAGTATCCTTATAGTCGTGTGATTTCTTGCCTTCATTTTTTCCACTTAAATGGGGCTAATGATTGTAAAACTCAAGCATATCAAGTGTACTTTGTTTACAGTACTCCCCACTTTATTGGGAGAGTTATAATTAGATTGTATTCCACCAAAGAGACCTAGAATTCTTTAGAAGTTTAAAATCATCCTAAATTTACCATTGAAAGGCCTTCCAAACAGCAAATGTTTTAGGCTGTATAACAGTTCTGTGTGCTCTCAAACATTTGATCTCCCTTTTCAGATCATGTCATTTTACTTTTTAAAAGTTGCCTATTTCATTCACTAGCTGTTGCCACAGAACTGGCGCATTCTAAGATTTCATGAACAAGTGGCGAAGGAATGAATAGAAATGCTTGTTGGCTGCAGGACCTAGTAACTAGCCTAAACAAAAGATTTGGCCTTGAGATTATTGTAATACAGTATGTGCCACATACTATTTCAATCGTTGACACCACATATACAGTGGTGGTCACGTAAGACATAATGGAGCTGAAAAATTTCTATCGCCTAGCAACATTGATGCTGGTATTAGCAAACCTGCACTGCTAGTTTGCACATACAGTTACGTACAGTACATAATATTTGATAATGACAATAAATGACAATGTTACGGATTTATATATTTACTATGTATCATTATTTTAGAGTGTACTCTTTCTACTTATGGAAACAAAGTTTGCTATAAAACAGTATGTCATTACACTGGCAACAGCCTCATACATCTTGTGTTTACTTCATGTCTTGATTGCATCATTTTCTTTTGTGCTTGATTTCATCTGGTGTTTTGTACAGTCACATGCTATACAGGGTTGGAACAGAAGGCTCGACCATAGAGCCTGGGTGTGGACTAGACTAGACCACGAGGTTGTGTGAGTGCACTCTGTGTTCACCTAATGATGACGTCGCCTGTCAATGCATTTCACATAACATATCCTTACTGTTGTGTGGTGCGTGACTGTACAGTGAGGGAGATGACCAGTATCTCGTCCATGGAAGTCATTTAGGAAAAAATAATAATAATAACGTTCTGAGGTTAAAAGTACTTTGGAAAAGGTATAAATTCAATATAAGGGAAAATCAACTACCACCTAGACAGGACAAGAATAGAACTCTTTGGTATTTTCCAAGGGTCTGGCCCTTGGCTTTTTAGGCTCTAAAAATTGTACATGGCAGTGACTTAGAAGCAGATGGACTTATATTAAACTAATTCACAAGGGCTACTTTATGAATAAATCAAAATGCCAGTTTCTAAACTAGGGAAGAAAAATATCACCTCTCTCCCAAGCAAACCTGTTGGGGAGTCAGATTGTAAATAGGAGGTAGTCGGGTACTTCCATGCTATGTGTCCCTGTTGTCACCTGCACTTTCCAGTTTGTGACCCTTAGCATGTTGGTAATGTCTCATTTCTTGAATGTTTTCCCAGAAAATGGTGCATCTTGTGGGGACAGGGACCTTGTCTTTTCCTGGCTATATCCTAGTGCAATGGCCCTAACCTTTTTGGCACCAGGGACTGGTGCTCCTATGAGAATTTAATGCCTGATGATCTGAGGTGGAGCTGAGGTGGTGATACTAGTGCTGGGGACCGGCTGCAAACACAGATGAAGCTTCGCTCGCTTGCCTGCTGCTCACCTCCTGCTCTGTGGCCTCGTTCCTAATAGGCCATGGACTGGTATCAGTCCTCAGCCCGAGGATTGGGGACCCCTGTCCTTGTGTACAATGTCTGCTGCACTGTTGTTCAGTAAATGTGTTCTGTGAAAGAGTTAGGTGGTCAGTCCTGATGGCATCATCCACAGCTCATAGCCAGATGTTGCCATTTCTGCTATACCTGCTGCACAGCTCTTTTACTGGGAGAGTTTAGAGGTTATACATTAGAATGATCTATCTGGGCCAGGAGTCTGACAGTCAGTAAAAGCATGAACTGAGTGCCTAGTGTGTACAGAGCCTTATGCTAGGAGCAAGCAGTGTACTGAGTGGTTCTGTTCTGGAGACTTGTTTTTAAAATGTATTAAATGTTGCATTCTTCCAAGTGTGAATGTGAACAAGCTCTGAATTATAGAAACTAAATAACTCCAACAGTCAAAATTAAGTGGTTGATTTGTCTAAAGTTATCAAATGAGCCTGGTTTGGCTGTGGGTGGGAATCAAGGCTGTGTCTTCTGAGTACCCCAAGTACCCCCCACATAATCCACAGAAGAGGGGTGTCTGTCCAGGGTGGGATGTTGTGTCAGAGCCTAACTTCCCAGCAGCATTGTGTGGACTCAGTGATTCAGCCTAAAGGCGCTCGCTGGACTCTGTAAACACCAAAGGCCCGAGTTGGCAGCAGCAGTTAACTGGCCCGCATTGCTGAGAGCTAAGGCTGGCAGGGCCAAGATCCAGCCTGGCGCCTAGATGCCATCATCTGGTTCAGGAGTGAGCCCAGTGCATTGTTGTTGCTGTTGACACAAAAGCAGCCTTGTTGCAACTCCTCATGGATCCTCCAGGTTGATGGGCCTGGGCCAGGGCTGTGACAGCACTCTTTACACCATCCAGGAGGCGGGAAGCCAAATTAGTTAAGATAAATGTTTGTCATTCAGTAACCAGAGGGAGATGTAAAATGATTTTCAAAAAACCAACCACCTTGGATCCCAGTGATTGTTCTGAAGATTTGCCATGAATTGGCCCTCAGTTAGAGGCCAAGTAGTAGCTAGAGAGATGGTCTGCATTTGCCAAGCACAGAGTGTTCTACAGATGAGGGGCTCCTGGGGACAGGAGGAATTTGCTCTGGTTGATTTTTGAGCTGAGTGCTGCCTTTTCCTGCCCTTCAGGAAGAGGCAGGGGGTGAGGCTCATGGCTGTGCTCTTCTTCTAGGAGAAGTGGTGAACACTCACGGGCCCGTGGAGCCTGACAAGGACAACATCCGCCAGGAGCCCTACACCCTGCCCCAGGGCTTCACTTGGGATGCCTTGGACCTGGGGGATCGTGGTGTGGTGAGTAGGCCCAGGCAGGCCACAGGTGTGGACTGGGCATTACTGTCACAGGGAGCCCTGCAGCCACACGGAGACAGCTTCTATGCAAGCCTTCTTCAAGGACTTTTTTAAGAGCTGGGCCTAACAGGTCTGAGCTTACCCCGTGTCTGTTGCCTCTGGGGCCTGCCCAAGACTCCACAAAAATAGCACTTGGCTTCTCTGGCAGGTAGAGAGGCAACTTCTGTGGCTTTCCAAGGCAGATATCCTTTTTGCATGCTTTTATTTTTCTTGTTCATCCATTCATTCATTCCTTTGTCTCAACAATGGAGTGGTTGATTAGTTGGATGATATTCTTGGTCTTCTACCACGTTATGTACTTGAAGTCTGCCACTCTACCCATTGGTGGCTCAGTTTCCTATTACAACTAGGGTGCTTGTTCCCAAAGAGTCCCTGCCATGCCTGGGATAGAAAGAATTTGTGAGATTAAAGTGAGTTTAAACTACGTTTCTGGTAGTTTGCCTTGTCCTTCTGAAAAGCTTGGAGCCCCAGGGTATTGGAGTTGTCCCCTATCTGGCAGAAAGCTCTAAGGCAGCTCCATATTTCTCTACAGCTGAAAGAATTATACACCCTCCTGAATGAGAATTATGTGGAAGATGATGACAACATGTTCCGATTTGATTATTCCCCAGAATTTCTTTTATGGTGAGTCGTAAGGGCTTTCTTATGGTTCTGGGGCAAGGCAGAGAGCAGAACCTCCGCAGGGCATCAGATTTTTCATCCCCGCTGAGCCAGCCTTTGAATGGCAAGTTCGTGTGTGATCTCTCGGTTCCTGCATCTGAAGGAGACTTGCTTCCGGTGGAGTTTAGAATTGAAACCTTATTTAAGATAAAATGACTGGGTGAGGGAGACACTGTACTCAGAGGAAAGACTCGTCTATTGTATGGTGACTTTATGTAAGAAGGGATGGGGGGATGAGAGCTTCTAAGATGTAAAAGAAAAGAAGAGTCATTTTTCTATCCAGTTCCTGAGCACGCTCAGTGTATGAAAATGGCCTTGCCTGGCTGAGCCATCTACCATGCTGGGCCACATTTAATATCCAGGAAGGCGAAGGCATGAGGCTGAGTTTAGAGGGGCTGCCTGATGGAGGAGGGAAGGGAAGAATGGGCAAGCAGAGAGGGCAGTGATGGGACCTGGAGGGCAGGTGGATTCCAGAGCTCCAGGGGCTCCACAGTCGGCTTCCAACCACGGGACCCACTGGACTCGGAGCCAAGGAGGCCAGACCTCTGGCATGAGCTGTCAGAGTGAGTGAGCACGAAGAAATTGGATCGGGTATAAAATCCCCAGTATGACAGCCTTGGATTGGGTGGGTAAGTAGGCCAAGTGGGCTGAGCAGCAAGAAGTGGCTATGGCTCAATTCCATTTGTATCCAGGAGGATTTGGCCCTAAAGAAAATTTAGCTGTGAACCCTCAGGAAGGTGGTAGCATGAGGTTAGACCCAAACTCTGCTCCAGAGCCCAAACAGCCTGCCTCACGCACTGGCAAGGCACCGCAGCCGCAGCCCTTGTCTCTTCTAGGGCTCTCCGGCCGCCTGGCTGGCTCCCCCAGTGGCACTGTGGGGTTCGAGTGGTCTCAAGTCGGAAACTGGTTGGGTTCATCAGCGCCATCCCAGCAAACATCCACATCTATGACACGTAAGCACCAGCGCCACCCGCCATATCCCCACCATGCTACTTGGTCTGAAAGGGAGGGAAGATAACAAGGTACACACACCTTCTACAGAAGAAAGGGAAGAGCCCACGAAGGGAGGGAACTCGAGCCCTGGGAATAGAAATTCATAATAAGAACTACCTGTTTTGCTCTAAATTGTTACTGTTCTCGTGTCCGGGACCTGGGCCGGTGCACTACCTGCAGGAGCTCAGCATTTGAACTTGCACATGTTGGTGCACTTGAGCAGTTTCAGAAATGGGCCCGAGCCAGTGTGACTCACATCCAGATAGTCACGAGGCCTTCGAGCTCTGTTGTTCATTCTCGCTGGAAATGTCAGAACCATCTGCCACAGTCTTCTGGACTTACAGCCCGGGGATTCTTGTTGGAGTCGAAACCCTTGCAATCCTAGAATAACCCCTGACTTACTCTGAAGTTTCCTGTCTGCTAAAGGCAGGACTCCCCCAGCCTGCCAGTGCAGATTCATCAGGGAGGCACTGGCAGTGCCTTCAAATAAAGCAGTTTGCTGGAGTCCCACTCACCTTTGGAAGTTGAGTCTGTGTTGAGAAGAGAGCGCTCCTTGCCTGGTGGAGCAGAGCAGTGGGAAGGAGTCCAAGTACCGACTGCCCAGCACAGGTCGTAGCAGAACACACGCCTGTGCTGAGGGCCCCGGTCCCTATGGGGTGGCTGCCCATGCTCGCAGGGATTACCTTCCGGTTAAAAGCCTCGTCACTGTTTTTTTGTTTTTTTGTTTTTTCCTTTTCAGAGAGAAGAAGATGGTAGAGATCAACTTCTTGTGCGTCCACAAAAAGCTGCGTTCCAAGAGAGTGGCTCCAGTCCTGATCCGTGAGATAACCCGGAGGGTTCACCTGGAGGGCATTTTCCAAGCCGTTTACACCGCCGGGGTGGTGTTACCAAAGCCTGTCGGCACCTGCAGGTATCAGCTCTTCCTGCGAGGCCCCAGGACTGGTGTGCCCGTTCTAGTGGAGGAGCTGTGTGTGTCACTGTGCCCCAGCTCCCCCTCAGCCCAGTGCGTGCCCGAGAGCCTCTTGCTTCTCTAGTGTCTGATGAGATGAGTGGTGGGCACCCACGGGAGCCAGGTAGGGAGCATGGATAAGCAAAGGGGGAGGTTATGGGAACGGCAGACTGGACGGTGCGTGCCCTGTCCAAGGGGTTAGCCATTCTCAGCTCCTGTTCATTCCTGCCATTTGGAAACAAAGGATTTTGTTTTAGTTTTTATAAGGACAAGCTTAAGTCTGGGTTTTTGTGGTAAATATCTGAACGTTTTAAATGGTTGGCTTAATTTTGTTTTGAATATTGTGTGGGCCAAAGAGGGCATGTCTGATCCTTGCATGACCCAAGGACAGCCTCTGCCTCAGAAAATTGTTTGAAATAATCACAGCCTGTGCCTCAAGAACGTCAAAAGAAAAACACTAGGCAAATGTGGTAGTAGAGGAGGGGGGAGGTTAAAAACGCAGAGACCTTTAAGTCTTTTCCGTTGACTTGATAGCAGCAGTGAGGAGTGAGGAGTGCTCTTCCCAGGCAACTGCTTAACAGGAGTTGCTTTTGAAATTGAGATAGAATCTACAGCCATGCCACTCTGAACGAGCCCGATCCTGGCTGATCTCAGAAGCTAAGCAGGGTCGGGCCTGGTTAGTACTTGAATGGGAGACCACCTAGGAAGACCACCTAGGAAGACCAGGTGCTGTAGGCATAAAAAATAAAATAAAAAATAAGGGATTGTGAGCTGACAAGGTCCTTGCAATCTGTGAGGTCAACCAAGGGTTGCCTCACCTAAAAAAAAGAAAGAAAGAAATTGAGAAAGAAAAACAGGGAGAAAGAAAATCCAGGAAGAACACTGGCGACTCTGAATTCTTTGAGGGGAGATTGGAGAGCAGGGCAGTGCCACAGGCTCAAGAGGGGCCCGACGTGTCTCTCGCGCCACCTGCTGGCCATCTCCATGCCATCGTCCTCTTAATGGGACTTGCCAGACTCCTCTGAGGACAGGACATTTGTGTCCCCACAGGTATTGGCATCGGTCCCTAAACCCACGGAAGCTGATTGAAGTGAAGTTCTCTCACCTGAGCAGAAATATGACCATGCAGCGTACCATGAAGCTCTACCGACTGCCAGAGGCCAGTGGTGCTCCGGGGTGATGGGCAGGGGGCAAGAGACAGGCTGAGGAGAGCCTGGCCCTCAGGAAAGGAACAAGGCTTTGGGTAGGGGGAAGGGATCAGAAAAGGGATTCAACCTATAGTTTCCAGATTCTTAGACTTTCCATTTCTGTTATTTCTGTTGTCCGTAGCAAGGGTTTTATTTTAGTCTGACTTTCTCAGTTCTCCTGTGCCTGCATCTGGGCTAGCTTCTCTTCTGTCATCTGTTGATAGGCTCAGAGAACACCTCTGTAATTTTAGCATAGTGAGTCTAAATAGAAAGATGAATCCACTTACTGAGCTGCAACACATCCCAGAGCCCAGTATAAATAAGCCATAGGGTGTCTGCTGTTACTTCTGCCAAGTCAGGTAAACAGGGCTACCCAACCCCCGGGCCACGGACTTTTACCTGGGCTGCACAGCAGGAGATGAGCAGCGGGCAAGTGAAGCTTCATCTGTATTTGCAGCCACTCCCAGTGCTGGCATCACTGCCTTAGCTCCACCTCAGATCATCAGTCGTTAGATTCTCAGGAGCCACCAGTCCCTGGTGCCAAAAAGGTTGGGGACTGCTGATAAAGGGTGAATGTGCTGGGCTTATGAGGAAACCCCAGATTTCTAATCCCAGTCCAGAGTTTGCCATTGAAGAACTGGGTAGCCTGGAATGAGCTGGTTTTCTGTTCTGGGCCAGTCTACCAAGTATTCCAACAAAATTAATGTTCCGTGTTCTTTACTTGGTCTCAGGATCCTAATGGATCTGAAGATTGCTTCTCTTTCCTCAGAGCTCTCCCAGGCATTGTCACAGTCAGTGGATACCCTCTCATCAGAGGCTGCCCACCTGGACTCATCAGCCACCAAACTGGATTAATCACCCTCGGATCAGGCTAATCCACCACTGGATTGGGGTCATTAGTGCCCTGTTTTGAGAGACTGCTGCAGCGCAGTTAGACACTGCCCCAGAAGACAACTTTCTGTTATTACGACACACTTGCCCTGAATTCTAGGCAGGCAGAGAGTGTTCTTCATGTGGTGTAGCAGCCAGAAGAACGTCTCTGCGCTCCTGGCCTGTGGGTGAGAGCCCCAGCATGGCTGCTTTTTCAGACCAAGATTTGAGGTGTCATTGTGGGAGCTGCCACGTAGAAAACTCCGAGATCAGAAATTGTTTCTAGAGATACCAGGATTAGTGAGGAATTTTGGCGGCGAGAGGTCCTGGAATTGCAGTTTTAAAAGCAGTTCCTGCCCTGGGGAGCAGCCGCATCAGGCAGTTATTGAGGTGTATAAACTGTTAGCTCCACCCTGTTTTCAGTTTTGGCTGACCCCACCTTTGCAGAATGAGTCTTTGAAGATAATCTCTCAGCCCCAGTATTTACAGCAGAGCATCACATGGCTTCATTTCACTGAAGCTTTTTTTTTTTTTTTTTTTTTTTTTTTTTTTTTTTTTTTTTTTTTTTTTTTTTTTTCCGAAAAGTAGCTGTAGGGTGGGATTCTGGTTTGCAATTAAATCCCAGGAGTTTGGTGGTGCTTTTCTTCTGAAGTTAACCTGCACGAGTATTCTGCTGGGGGCATTACGGGTGCAGCAGTATCCAAGTGGACAGATAATGCAAGCGCCCAGTGCAGCTGTGCTGGGCCTGCGGTTCCACGGTGCCCAGGCTGGAGCCTGTCTGTGGGGGCCCTGAGTCTGCAGAGAGAGACCAGTGTAGGAGATCTCAGTTCAGTGGGAGAAGGTAGCGAGGGCTTGGGGGAGGTGCGCCACTGAGGCCCAGGAGCCACACTGGGCTGGGCTGACCCCAGCACATCCTGGGGTGGTCAGGGCTTCTCTCCGTCTTGGCACTGTTCACATTTCGCCCTGGGTGATTTTTTGTCATGGGGAACATCCTGAGCATTGTAGGACGTTTTAGCAGCAATCCTGGCTTCTACCCACTAGATGTCAGTGATACCCCTCTCCCTAGTAGTGACAACCAAAAATGTCTTCTAGTATTGTCAAATGTCCTCTGGGGGACAGTTGCCCCTGTTGAGAATCGCTGGGCTTAGAAAGACAGGCACAGTCAGAACAGTCAACTGGTCCAGGGGCGGAAGGTCTTATGCTCTGTGTTGGGAAGTTTGGAACAAGGAGGGGCATGGTGGGTTGTGTTTCTTAGGAAGATGTCCTGGGCCATGTGGATAAGAGATTGAAGCAACAGCCTTAACCAGGAGGGAAAGGGCCAAAAGATCCCAGAGAGGCAGGACTTGTGCCTGGGTGGGTATGAGCTGTGGGAGGGAAGGGTTGCCAAGGGTGACCAAGGATTCTCTCTTGAGGGTCTGGGTGGACAGATGCAGGATCGGGTAAGAAGGGGGACAGTGTGAAGTATCGGCGGCCTGAGAGGGAGCCGATCACTCCCAGTCAGCACGTCTGATGTTGTCTGTTTTCCTTCCAGTCCCCCAAGACAGCTGGATTGCGACCAATGGAAAAAAAGGACATTCCAGTAGTGCACCAGCTCCTCACCAGGTACCTGAAGCAGTTCCACCTCACGCCAGTCATGAGCCAAGAGGAGGTGGAGCACTGGTTCTACCCCCAGGAGAATATCATTGACACTTTTGTGGTGGAGGTGAGTGGGGCAGGGCGTTCCGTGTCTCTGACCATTCAGAGAGGCATTCATTCCCCTTAAGTGGCTAGGGTTCCTGGGCTCGGTGACTAAAGAGCCGATTAACAGGACTATTGCTACCTTAGACTTCCTTGGCCATACAAGCTTGGTCCTCCCTAAGGACGAGACACTCTAGCTTGTACTTGCTGAAATGATCCTCTGGACTTTGCATGAACCCTTCTCCCTCTTCCCACCCCAGTCACCACTGGTGACATAGAGAAAGAACTAAGCCTTTCTTAGTCTTGTAAGCCTGCGAGTCTCTGCCTGTCCTAGCTTGAGGTAGTACTGGCCAGGCAACGGGGACACAATCTAGGGGAATGTGAGCCTCAAGAAGTCCATGGTGATGCATAGGCCAGGAAAGAGCTGTCAGGTTCAGCCCACAGTCCAGCCTAGATTTTCCTCCTGGCTCTGTCCTCGAGTGCCCCTGGCCAGTGTACTTTCTCCTCCCTGCATATCCTATTTCAGCTGTTTCACTCATTTGTCTAGCGGGGCAGAGTTGCCTTTGGGTGGTGTGAGAGCAAGTGGTACATTTTGTTCCCAGATTACAGGATTCCTGTGCTTGCGTGACATTGCTTGCTTTTATTGTCTTCTCTTCAGAATTCAAATGGTGAGGTGACAGACTTCTTGAGCTTTTATACGCTTCCCTCCACCATCATGAACCATCCAACCCACAAGAGTCTAAAGGCTGCTTATTCTTTCTACAATGTTCACACCCAGACCCCTCTTCTAGACCTCATGAGCGACGCCCTTGTTCTCGCCAAAATGGTGAGCAGACCGGAGGGTTCGGAGATCTGTGGGGCAGGGGCCGTGCAGCGGTGGTGAGCGTAGCTCAGGGGAGGTAGCTGCCCATGGGCCGGGGGCTTGGAGTCCTCCATGGCCTCCTGCTCCGCTTACGGAGGGGCCCTGCAGCTCAAAACTAGGCGGGAGCAAGGAGCATCCACGTGACGTGAAGGCATTGAACTCCTCCTGATTTATTTCAGTGAGTTTCGTTCTCACGGGAGGCGCTGCCAAGGAGCCTGAATAGCCAGGCCTGCTCGGGGAGGAAAGGGGTTCTCCTTACGACTTCCCCAGCATGGGAATGGGGAGATTGGTCTCTGTCGTGGTGAGTCATTGGAGCTGCTGACTATAGAGCATGGGGGGAGGGGTCCAGGCATCTTTTGCACCTGAGAGGTCATTCTCAGTCAGTCTTCAACATGGGTTTTGCCTGTAGTGAGCCCAGCCCGCTGTGGGCTGGCCAGACGGTGGACAGTCCAGTCCCTGCCCATGAAAGCTTCTAACTGAGGTGGTGAGATGTAGGAAGTGTCTCTGCCACAGTCTCAAAGCACCATATCAGGTGTCATGAAATCACAGGGAGACCTGAGAGTTGGGGTGTCCTGGGAGTGGGAGAGCAATGCAAGTGTTGACAGGTGCCAGCTTCTCAGAGGAAGGGGTTCAGGGCTTGGTCTCCAGAGAGGACTGTGGAAGTTACTAGAGTGTTTCAGGGAGGTTTAAGAGGGAACAATAGCAATGGCCTCGGCACTGAGTCTACAAGAGTGCTCGGAGCGACACTGAGGCGAGGCCAGGTAGGGTGGTGCTCAGAGTGTTCTGAAAGCTGTCACTGGAGAGCAGGGTGCAGGCTGGACTTTGGATTTATTTAACACAGAGGCGGCCAGAACTTCGGAAGGAAGATCTTTCTCATGGCCACCTGTGGGATGGTTCTGATAGGATAGAAAAGGGCAGGAGGGTGAGGCAGCTTTTACCTCTCTTCACCTGTTCCTGTTTCTCCCTGCCGCCCTGCAGAAAGGGTTTGACGTGTTCAATGCACTGGATCTCATGGAAAACAAAACCTTCCTGGAGAAGCTCAAGTTTGGCATAGGAGATGGCAACCTGCAGTATTATCTTTACAATTGGAAGTGCCCCAGCATGGGGGCAGAGAAGGTGTGTACCCAGCTGGGCCCTCCCAGCTCGGGGAGTTGGTGGAGCAGAGACAGGGTCATAGGTCAGGGATCCAGCATCAGTCTGGGCCCTTGTTCACTGGTGCTTGGCCCCCTGAAAAGTCCCGTCCTCCAGTGGCCAGACTAGCAGGGTCAGTGTTCCCCTTTCAGCAGCTGGTGTGAGGGTGGCAGAGGGGACGGGCTCCAGAGCCACACAGAAGCAGGAAGGTTGTCTCCAGCTTCTCTTCCCACCAGGTAAGTTGCTGCAGCTGGCTGCGGGCAGGGCATTTGGGAGCGTTTCAGGGAGCCGTGCGAGTCTAGTTGCCCAAGCTTAGAGTCTTGAGTATTAAGGATCCTTTTCCTCTGCTGGGCTGCTGCCCACATCCCAGCATGACGCTTCCTCTGCCTTTCCTCCACCAGCTCCAAAGGGCAGCCCAGGGCCATGGGTGTGGTTAGCAGTTACAAAATAACTGACTGCTGGAGGGAGGCCTAGTGTCCAGTGTTCCTTAAGATACTGGAGTTGCATTCCTTGAAGGATCTAATAAACATATAAAGCCTTGTGCAGAGGGCACCAGCTCACTGTGAGTCTGCTTACACAGCCTGGGGGCATTCTGTGGGCTCAGCCATTTGGTACTTCAGGTCTGGGGTGGTGAAGTGGGCGAGGCTTTGGACAACTGTCAACTGAATTCTGCCCCTCCCCGTTGGCTCTCGTAGGTTGGGCTGGTGTTACAGTAACCAGTTGCCAGTGAGATTCTGGATTAAGCCACTGAGAATTCAAACCAGGAAATGGAACCCCACCACTTGTTGGTCTAATTTTCACAAACGTGAGAATCCCTGGCAAAGGGAAGGAACAGAAGCGAACCGGCTTTACCAAACCGCCACTGAACTTGACAATTGTATTGCGATGGCGTAGGCTGCGTGATGTCACCTCTGGCCGTGTCTCTGGTCTCCCTGTTTTCCAATTAATCACATCCTTATGCAGCCGTGATCAAGGGAATGTAACTGCTGAAACCTAGCTCGTGATTGGCATATTATGGAGTTAACGGGTGAATAATAAAAGTATATATATATATATTATATATATAAATATTTTAAATATCTTTCATGTTCCACATGTACAAGGATGTTTGGTCTCTAAAGAAAAGCTGAATCCAGATCATTCCTCAGAATTAGAATCAAGGACAGTGCCAGACAGACACATACTGGTACAATGAATTGTTTCCTTCTGAAAGCAGGACTTGACTTTTGTTGGGGGAACAGAAGAAGGCAGG